GTATGCATAAAGAGAAGAAATCTTGGGTAAACAGAAAAGTTATTTTAGCTCACTATGGGTACGTCTACACTAGCTGGCTAGTTTGAGCTAGGTAGGGTAATGAGGGCAAGCGGAGTTGCAAATGAAGCCCGGGATTTAAATATCCCGGGCTTCATTTGCATGATCCCAGGTGACGCCATTTTTAAATCTCCCTTAGTCTGAACTCCGTGCCCGCAGCTACACACAGCACGGAGTAGGTAGTTCGAATGAAAGAGCCTTGTGGAATGAGGAGTAACGTTAGTTCGAATTAAAGATCCTAATTCGAACTTACCTGTCTGGGCTGCATGTAGCTGTGGGCACGGAGTTTGGACTAAAGGGGATTTAAAAATGACGGCGCCCGGGAACATGCAAATGAAGCCCGGGATACTTAAATCCTGGGCTTCATTTGCAACTCCGCTTGCCCTCATTACCCTACCTAGCTCGAACTAATGAGCTAGTGTAGACGTACCCTATTTAGCACTGGTGTGGCCACTCTTGGAATACTACCTCCTGTTCTGATGTCAACAGTTCAATAAGGATGTCGATAAATTGGAGATGGTTCAGAGAAGACCCTCTTGAGCACTAAAAGATTAGAAAACATGCCTTACAGCAGGACTACTCAACACACCTTCTGTAGGCAGCATGCAGCCTGCAGCCCATTTGTTTGCAGCCCACAGTGTGTTTTGGGTTTATGCTGGGCTCAACATGTGGCCTGCAGGTGGGATCCTTTGAACATGGCCTCCACTGGGAATACACTCCACAATGGTGAGGCATCTTCCAGGCGGTGTGAGCACTGAAAGACACAAGTGGATGGGCTGGCCGGAACAGATGGGTACAGGGTATCGGCATTTCTAGCCCGTAGGGAGGAAGTGCCAGGAGCTCTATGCCATTGGGCAAGTGCTTTGTATTCATGCCCATCCGTGTGAAAAAAGCTATTTGAATATATTTACATATATATTTGCATGTATATGCAACCACACTTAAGTTGCAGCCCTCAGCATGTGCTGTATTATTGTGGCCCCCAGGGCTTCCAAAGTTGAGTAGCCCTGTCTTACAGTGATAGATTCAAGGAGCTCAATGTATTAAGCTCAATGGAGAAAGGCCATTGGCTTGACTACAGTGTCTAAGTACATATATACAGAAGGACTATCTAATAATAGCACAGGTGCCAATTCTGTGGGTGATCTGGGGCAGGAGCACCCCCGGAAAAAAATGTGCAGGTGGTGCATAGCACCCGCTGCCAGCCTACTCTCCCTTCTCTCATAGTGCCTTCCATCTACCAGTGGCCCCACTAATTATCTTCTCCTCTACCCTCCAGCCACCTACAATCAGTTGTTTCTCAGTGTGCAAGAGACGTTGGGAGGAAGGCGGAGAGCGGGGACTTAGGGAAGGGCTGAGGTGGGTGGGGCCTGGGGTGAAGCATCCTATGGGCCTAAAGAAGCCCGTGCCCATGAATAAGGGGCTCTTCAATGTATCTGACAAAGGAATAGGATGATCTAGACAATACTGGGTCCTGCCGTGAGGGAACCCTCAATGACCTCTCGAGGTCCCTTCCAGTCCTAATATTCTATGATTCTATGCTCCATCCAGTGGCTAGAAGTTAATGCTATAGAAATTATGATGGAAAAAGGAAAAATGTTAATGGTGAGAGTAAATAACCATTGTAACTATTGTAATTCTTCATCACTGACCATTTTTAAATCAAGTTTGGTTAATTTTCTAAAAGATCTACTCTAGGAATTATTTTGGAAAAGGTCTTTGATATGTGTTTTACAGGTCAGACTAGATGCTCACAGTGATCTCTTCTGGCCTTGGAATATATGAAATAGCTACTCATCAGGAACATTAAAATATATGCTCAACCAAATCAGTTAAAGTGATGCCTTGAAAGATTTATTTGAATTAAGCTTCAAACAAACCCACATATTTTAGAAACAGTCGCAAATTACTACTAGGTAGTGTGCCCTCTGCTGGAGAAAATAAGAGCTGCTCAACCATGTGGCAGTTGGCTCTGTACTGGCGACAGACATGCTTTTGGGGTATGTCTAGACTTCAGAGTTTTTCCAGGATACCTCTGGATACTCTGCCACGTCCAGAGAACATGTCCGCTTTTTCGGAACAGTTTCTGAAAAAGCGGGCATGTTCTTTCAAAAGTCCTGTATTCCTCATTTTGTAAGGTATAAGGGCTCTTTCAGAAGAGGAGGCTTTTCCCACATTTGGCTCCAAGTAGATGGGCTAAATGTTGGGAAAGACTCTTCTGAAAAAAAAAGTAGAAAAAAGGTATGCAAATTGCATACTGCAAACTGAAGTTTCATGTGGCCCAACCAAATACCATGGTAACAGACATGATATTCTTAATTGGTATCAAATCTATGACATTATGAATTCTAAAATATTCTAGGACTTGAAGAACCTCAAAAGGCTTTTAGTATGAGCACTCAACATTTAGAGACTTTTTTGAACTTTCCAAACTTGTAGACTATGTGGAATCGAGTGCTTTTTGTCTCTGTTATGATTAGAATCCCTCAAGAATTTTGCCATTTTTAATTTGGGACTTGCCAGAACTGGAAGGGAGAAAGGAGAAGTGGAGGAAAGAGACCACCTATATAAATACATGTAAACATTTTGGAATCTCACAAAACATTCAGTTAGTGATTGAGTCTAGAAATGAGCAAATATTCCTGGGGAAATTTTGAACTACTTCACTGTATAGATCAGTGATGGGCAACTTAGGCTAGTGAATGGCCCTCTATCTCAGTCGGCTGAAAGATGGTTGTAACCCACATTAGGGTAGTTTTGCTAACTGCATTTGCATGCCTAAAATTTGCAGGGTGTGCCAGTTGAATTGTAACAGCACTGTAATTGGCAGCAGAGGGAGCACATGGCTCTTACAGTCAATGTTGTATGCAATCAACATGCACTGTATTTGTGTGCTCTTGCTTTACATGTGTATCACTTTAGAAATACCAGTAGGAAAAAAACTATGCAAACAGAAACCAGCAGAACCTGGCAACCCTCTGCATGGGCAATGGTAAACAAAATGAATTGTGGGCCTCACACAGAACCCTGATGGGCCACACATGGCCCTCAGGCCACAGGTTACCCACCAGTGGTAGATTGTGAATTATTTTATAGACTTAGGGGCTTTCTTTCATTATGTGCCTTCATAGTGCCTAGGACAAGGGGAGCTGTTTCCTGATAGAGACTTAGGGGCTTTCTTTCATTATGTGCCTTCATAGTGCCTAGCACAAGGGGAGCTGTTTCCTGAGAGAGGCCTGGCCTGGCTTTTGGACAAGGTGAGTGAGGTAGTTTTCTTGGGGTCTATGCATTCAGGGCCCCGCCCACCCGGCCGCTCACTCTCTGCCCTGACTGGGAGCCACGCAGCCGTGCGGCTCAGCCAAACACAGTGTGCTGCCTTGGGCCCCCGCAAACTTTTTGGCTGAGCCTGAATGAGGCCTCTGGGCATTACAAAAATATAAATTTGGGGCAGGAAAGATACAGCCTGTGGGCCAGATGCAGCCAACCAAGCCTTTTAATCTGGCCCGTTGCCTGCCCCTGAAGCACAGAGCAGCTCCATGCCACTCAAAGCATCTGGTTCCTCCCTCTGGCTCTCTGTGCCGTGCCAACAGGCGTTGAAAGATTGTACTGGGGCTGCATGCGAAGCCTCCCCACCCACTCTGGCAGTGCAGAGGGCCACATGGAACAGCTTGTCTGGGGCTGCTGGCAGGCAGGGAGCCTGCCTGAGGGTTCTGCTGGATTGCTGGCTAGGAGCTGCTTAGGTAAGCACCTCCAGGCCAGAGCCTGCCTCTGGCATCCCACCCTCCTCTCACATCCCTGCACCCCTTCCTACATCTTGCTCCCAAGGTCAGAATCCTCTCCTGCAGTAAACCCCCTCCTGAACCCTGCATCCTTGTCCCCTATCCCAGGTCACAACCTCCTCCTTCACACACACTCCCTTTCAGACCCTCTCCTGCACCCCAGTTCCCTACCCTGAGCCCCGTTCTACACCCCGCCTCTGTCCCAGACACACACACCCCTAGAAAAGTGCAGTCCTTGATAACTTACCAAAATCTTGGCATGCCCCCCAACAAAAATTGTCTACCCCAATATAAATAATAACTCACCCCTCCCTAAATAGTCTCTGCTATAGAGGTTTTATTGCACCCACCATCATAGCATGAGGCCCAATCCAGATAATAGGGGCCTAACCCCAGTCCCAAAGAGTTCATGGCGAGGCTGCCACAGACTTCAATGGGAGCTGGATAGCCACCACATGCCACAGTGAAGGGAAGTTAATTTAATTAAATGCGTTTCCTGCGTTTTGCCCCTTCTGAGAAATCCCATAAGCGGCCACTCCTGGGAAGAGCTGCGGTCAGCCCCGCAAACGGAAAATTACGAAGTGAACCAGCTCCCTCTTCTCCTAACAAGAGCGATCGATCACTAATGAAGAGGAACCGCTGCACCGCGGGAGGACACCTGCGATTTACAGCCGGCTGGCAGAGCAAGCTCGGAAAGTCCTGCGTTGGCCGCGGAGAGCTGTCAGGCGGCAAAACCAGAGGGAAAGGCGGCTGCAACCCTGGGCGGGTGAGTAACCCAGTGCCCGGGGAGACACACGAAGAGGGAAGAGCTGCAGCCCTGGGGCGCTTTCCGGGGTGGGCAGGTGGCGAGGGAAGCCCTGGCTGAAAATCTTAGCGGCAGCTGAGCACAGGAAGGGCCGGGAGGGGCTCTAGCTGGGAAGCAACCGCACTGAGCCTGCAGGTGGCTGGGGCAAGGTCCAGGAGCTGCGTGCCTAGAGCCAGCTGCCTAACGGGGAGGAGCTTTGCAGGAGAGGCTGGGGACAGACGCTGGGCAGCGAGGCTAGAGCCAGCTGCGTGCAGGGGAGGGGGCACCAGGAGCCAGCTGGGCCCGGGACAAACCCTGGGGAGATCTCGTGGTTAGAGCCCTGTGTGTGGAGGGCGGGGACGGGAGCCAGCGGTGTGGGGCAGGCGGGGGAGGAGGAGGAGAGGAGCCAGCGGTTTGGGGCGGGACTGGGCGAGCGGCTGGGGAGGGCAGGTGCAAGCGCCCTCCGCTCTGCAGCATGGGGAGGCAGCCTGGCACCCCGCTGCCAAGGGCGCTGTCCAGCCAGCGGAAGCCCCGTGCCCAGTGAGGAGGGGCGACGTTGGCGGTGAGTGTCCCACATCAGCCTGGCCCCTGCGCCCCGGGGAGGAGTCAGCTGTCTCCAGCGGGGCTGCTCCCGGCGCCGGCCCTGAGAGGAGGATGAGGAGCCGCGCTGCCCAGGGCAGGCTGCCGAGGTAACCAGCCCGTTCCCAGCGGCTGCGCGCCAGGGTGGGCGCTATCGGACGGGCTCTGAGCCCGGGCCGGGGGTTCCTGCAGGGCGGAGCCTCTCTTGGGGTTTCTTGGTGAAGTGGCTTCGGAGGCTTTAGCCTCCCACTGCGGGCTCTGCCGCGCCCAGCCTCGCCGGCGTGTTACAGCGGGGCGGCGGCTGCGCTGCTCGGACACATCCCGGCTGCGAACCGGGCAGGTGCGCTCGTCCAAACACCCCTTCGGCCCTTCAGCGTTAGTGACTGTCCTGGGCAGTGAGGCTAGAGCCGGCCCCGGCCCTGTTGCCTGAGGAGCTGTGATGCTGCCTGAGGGTCCCATTGGATTGCTCTCTCTGGCGAAGGGCGGGAGAGAGTTGGCCAGGGCGCTGTCTAGCGGGTAAAGCACTTTGCCTGACGGAGTGTCAGCAGCCCCCACGGTCACTGCTGGGCTCGGGAAACAAGAGTTCGTGCCTCCCCCATCCTTTTGTGCAATCGCCACTCTGAAGGCTAAAGTATAGCTCCGCAGTTTCACCAGAACTGCGCTGTGGTGTGGTCCACCCACCCGCTCTGTCGCAGCACTGTGCTCTGGCATTCGCGCTGGCTCAGGCCGTTGCAGCCAGTGGGACCTAAGATCGACTAGGGATAGAGTTACAAGAAGCTGTTGGAGAAAGAGCTTGGCCTGAGTCAGCTAACAATAACTATTTGGTTTGTTGGTATTTAAACATGTCCCTATTAAGAGCTGACTGAGGTGTGCGCTGACATCCTGGTGCACACTCTAATAAAGATGGAAAAATCTTAGAATGCAAATTATAATTCTGTCTTGGGATATACAAGGTTCCTGTATAGGTAAAGCAAACAGGTGCCCTGATCCTGCTTACCTTTACCTGCTTGAGTCCTCTCATACATAAAGTTAGACATACAGAAGTGTTTGCAGGATTATAGCATTAATTTTAATAACAGACTCTTTATCACTTTTGCTTATGGGATCATTTGTGTAATTTCAACCGGCAAAATGTCAATTGTTAAAGTTGGCAATAATGAACAGCCTGTTCATAAGAGGTGCTGAGTATCCACAACTTCCATTGATTTGAGCTGAAGGTCAAATTGAGTCAGTGGAACTCTGCAAGGTGGAGCTTTTGTTCTTGTTACAATAATATTAGTTTTGAATTGACAGTGTCCCATTGAGAATTTGCTCTCAACAGCTTTCCTCTGGCTGCAAACAGCCAAGAATGGAGGTGGATGATAGAAGTGGTTACTACATTCAGCTACAGAATAATTAACTTTGCATTAATTATGTGATCATCCATATATTCAGAACTCTTTCACCAAAACAATTACTAAATCATCATTATTGAATGAATCTGTTTGTCTCAAAATAATTTATGTAAACCAAGACTCATTATGATCAAAATGTAATTGGGCATTGTTCATTCTTAAGCTCAGACAAGGAGTAGTGTAGCTAACAGTCACTTGCAGAGGAACTCTGTATCGAACTGATGGCTTAAGATCACCATAAATAAAAGTAAAGTATAGTCAACTGAGGTATCCTTCCCTTACGTGGCAGAACATATCTCATGCATACTTATTCTGCTCTTCTAGCCCTGATCTATTAAATTCCTAGTGTCATCTGTGAATTAGAAGTATCTATAAAAACATCCCATTCTAAAGCCAGGTTGTACTTTTGCTAATGAATTCTGTATGCTTGGGTGGTGTGTTCACGCACTAATCATTACAATAGCACTGTAAAAACAAAGATTAATTGTAATTAAGCTCATGTTGTAACTGACTTTAAGCATTAGGCATGCTGCCATACTTGAAAGCAGCATGTTTCACTAGTCAAGAATGAAAGGGCAAATAACGTGGCACTGAATCTCCTTCAACTTAAACTGGTATAAATTGGCAGAAACTCCACTGAAATCAATGGAGTTGTAACAATGAGAACTAGGCCTTGGACTTTCCTCACTAACAATTCTAGTAACCAATAGTGCAAGAAGTTTGTGTTTAAAGATGTTCATTGCTGCACTCTGGCTTAAACTGACAATAATACTCTTTTAAACTTTGACTTTGCTTAGTAGATTGAAATAAACAATGTCATCTTAATCAGTGGGTTTTGTCTGACCATCAACAAAACCTCTCATTACTTTTTTAAGCGTTTATTTAATTTTGCAACCTAGATAACAGTATTTACATCAAGCTGCTACATTTCTTGAGATGCCTTAAATTAGTAGATATCCCCACTCTAATCTTCCTCAGACAAATCTTTAACTCCCCCAGCACAGAATTGGGAACTGCTCATTTTGAAGTCAATGCTCACAACTCTCACTACCATCAGAGAGCAGGTCTGACTGTGTTAAATCTTGTTATCCTCCCAGTGAATAGCATACTCAATTTCCTTTGCAGCCTAGTGACTGCTCCAATGAACAAGCTCCCCCACAACCATCTAGAAAGTGAAAAAACTGTTAATGATAACAGATGCTAATTTTTACATATATAGCAAACAACATCATTGTTAGTATGCACAGTGACACTTAGAGACCCTAGTCAGGGACTAGGGCCATGTAATGAATTCTGAATACATTTTATGTAAATATGAGAGGCCATGTGACATTGGATGTGAATAAGAATCTGCTTATGGATTTCCTTCCTGATCCTGCAAACAGTTATGCACATGGATTTAACTTTACTCATAGGAGGTTTACTCAAAGGTTCACTAGTGACTATAACATGAATGTAAGTCTGTGTAGGACTGGTTCATAAACTGGGAGGAAAATAAGATGCTGGATTTGGTTACACCCTATCTGTATTCATAACTCCTAGCTATGTTAGTTGGCTCATCAGAACATACAAAATTAGCTAGAGCACATCTCTTCTGCTTAGTATGTGTGTTTGTCTGCTTATCATCACTGCTAGGTTTTATCATAAGTCAAAGCTTAAAAAAACCCTCAGATCACTTCCACTGTAAATGCTGATGGCTTATCTTCCCTCTGCATTGCACCCTTGACTTGTTCTGAAATTCTGTACTCTAGTGAAAATGGGAATTTTTTTACTAGCTCCAGTGACATCTCCAAGTTCATTTCTGTGAGCTGTCCATCAATACACCAAAAATATCTTGTGTGTCTTAAAACTGAAGAGATCTGGGTTCTATTCGGTGGTCTGCTTAGTGTAAAGCTTAAGAGGCACCTTAGAGCAGTGGTCACCAGCCAGTACATCAGATCTACTGGTAGACCTTAGAGCCTCTGACAGGTGATCTTGATGGGTTTGGACAAGAGGCTATCAAGTGCAGCACTTTAGCTGCCCCTCCTACCACTGCTGCACACCTCCTGCCCTTTGTGTTGGTGCTGCCCCTCCCCAGGAGCCTCCTGCTTGAGGTACAGAGCAGGGAAGGGAGAGCAGTGGCACTGATGTCAGGATGCTCCCTCTCCCTCCTTGTGTTCTATCTCCACACAATGGAGGCACAACAGGGCTTGGGATGGAGGGAGTTTTCTGGCTGCTTTTGAGATTGGTGCAGGGCCAAGGCAGGGGTGAGCCTGCTTTATCCTCACTGCACCCCCCCCCCCTCAGGTGTCACCTTAGGTAAGCAGTGTCCAGCTGGAACCAGCCCCAGTCATGAACCCTCTCCTGGCTCCCAAGCCCCTGCCTTAACCCTGAGCCCTTTGGACCCAAACTCCCTTACAGAGCCTGTGCCCTGAAACCCCTCCTGCACTCTGATTGTCTGCCCCAGGCTTAGCTCAGAGCCCCTCTCACACTCCAAATCCCTTAGCCCAAGACCAGAGCCTGTGCCCCTGCCTGGTGTAAGGGAAGGAGAATGGGGGAGGAAGGGAGGACGGAGTGAGCAGGGGCAGGGCCTTGGAAAAGGGGCATTAAGGGAGGTGGGGCAAGGGTATTTGGGTATGAGGTAGATCCTGGATTGCACTTAAATTCAAAAAGTGATCTTGTGCTTAAAAAGGTTGGAGACCACTGCCTTAGAGTCTAACAGATTAATTCAAGCATAATCTTTTGTAGGTAAAACCCACTTCATCAGATGAATTGGAGTGGAGTTTATAGAGTCATGAGTGTATATATAAGGACAACAAAAGAAAGGGTGCTTGTGTAAATGAGGCTAATCAAGTCAGGGTGGAAATGGCTCACTCACAGCAGTTGATGTTGAAATGTGGCTATCAAGAGAGGAGAAATTGCATTTGTAATATGTTAACTAGTTAAGATCTTTATTCAGTTCTAAATTGATAGTATTGAATTTGTAAATTAATTCCAGTTCAGCTGTCTCCCTTTATAATCTGGTTTTGGAATGATTTTGTAGAAGGATGGCTACTTTTAAATCTATTAATGAATGTGTCCAGGGAGGTTAAAATGTTGCCTTATAGGTTTATATATGTTACCATTCCTGATATCTGATTTGTTTCCATTTATCTTTTGGGTTAGAGACTGTTTGGTTTGGCCAATATATATATAAGGCAGAGGGGCATTGGTATGTTACTTTGAATATGTTACTAAGGGACAAATGTTCCAAGCTGGGCCCTCCAGTCTAGTCTGAGACATCAAAGTGATGTCTTCTGCTTGCAATATCCTCTCCTGGTTATAGTCTTTGTACGGTGCTTACAAATAGCTCCAGTTCTTCAAGTATCTAAGGCTTAGCAGGATAGTTGATGGTTCATTTCTCAAACTACTCTTCTCCTTCATGTAAAAAGAAGAGACTTCTGCATCCTAAACCATCTTGGAATCACAAATTTAGAATGTTAGATAATGTAAATCCTTTATACTCCTTATAAAGTAACCATTGATTATGATAAATAGTATCAATGTCTTGGGTTAGAAAGGATGAAGCCTCTCCTCTTGGACATACTGCTTCATTTTCACTGAAAGCACATTCTTCTTCTTACAAGTTTCATTCTCAGAACTTTCTTTCATTGTCAGCCCACAAGATCTGAATCAAATGCTAATGCCATCCAATATAATAGATTCATTCATTTGCATTAACCACCTCCACAACTTAT